ATCTCCCGTCCTTATACTCGTATCTCTTTTATTAATAATCGCAAATGTATCTACTGAAACTTTTGAAACATTTATTGTAAAATATGGCCATTAGTATGAGTATTTAGTACTTTCAGTAGGTACAGATATGTATCAAATATTTCCTTATACATTTATCAAATAACAAAACAGGAACCGATTATTTTGCACGACAAAATAATCGGTTCCTGTTTACAACGACTTTGGCATTTAATGCACTTCGCTATTAAATAACAAGCATATTTGAAGCGTGCTAGAACAAAATACATGCTCACTCATAACTTTTGCCTTGTGAAGTTGTGACTGAGAGCCCTTGTCACAAAAGATTTATCTACACCTTATCCAGCCTCTCAGAGAGACTTTGTCATGTCTTGAATGGCATGCGCCATATTATGAGATAACCGTAAAAAGTATTTTTAATCGTATGTTGGCAATAACATGATTTGAATTAGCTTGGAACGTTTAGACGCTAACACAGCTGCTACGAACAAAAGTGCTTTTTGTGATTTATGTGTTCTTCCTTCCTGTTAAATGTGTTTGGTACATACAATATACTTGATTAGCAAATCTACACATTCTTATACGATTTCGAAGCTAAAACAGGTTTAAGGATCAAATTTAAACTGTATAATTTTCCACCATATTTAGGGTGCGACGACCTTTTCAAGAAGGTGTTGAGAATTTCTTCCATAATTGCGTCCTTCATTGAAACAAACTAAGGGTGTACTTGAGAAGAAGCTGGGCCCTCAGGGCGATTCAGACTGGCAACTTAGTAATTAAGCTTATTTCCTTCTCTTGTTTCGTCATTTACAACAATTGTATGTCTAGTTGATTCAATAGGGTACGACATTGTTTTTATAGACGCATAGTCTTGCCGGTTCATATTTCTTTGCTTTTTGACATGTTTTATATTGGCTTTTTTATTGACGAATTCGTTAGTTTCAAACCAAATATTTATAGTTCCATATATCTATAGTTCGTGGCGACTTGCTTGTAGCCAACAAGCTCAAATAATTGAAAAGCTTGTCCATGTAGCCTATAAAAGTGAAAATAATAAAATACAATCTATTTAATTCAGCTGTACGAACTTGTTAGCGGTGTCTGGTTTGCAGAACGTGACCAGACAGTGGTCGACGACGACACAGGGATGACCGCACCAATTGTACTTGAAACACTACGAAATACTAAATGAACTTTGTTCACTTCATCTAGACGTTCTGAATCACGTTGGTCGTTCTAAAAATAGTTTAAAATGTCTCCAATGTAAGGATTGTAAAATAAAGTTTCACGATGAGTCAATATGGGGGACACCCTTTCAGATAGTTTGAATCATTATGAATGGAAAGTTCCCATTTTATTGACTATCAATCATAAGCCGCTACAATATTTTATTTAATCTTAACACTTCCACGCAAGATACTTTTTTTCCGTCATGATTGCTATTGTAAATAAAACCGGCACTACGACGCAGTGTGAGTCATTGGCTGTTTCTTAAACATCTGCTTAAAGCCGTGCTAATTGATGGAATACAAAAATCCTTGTGGCAAGGACGTGGCATACGTTCTATTGTTTGTTTTGACATTACTAGTTGTGAATTACTTAGTATTACCAACATTTACGAAGACATACCTAGCGACGTCTCTTTGTTTTTGTGGAATGTGCGTCTCTCGTCAATATAAAATTTCACGTGTAAACAATGATATTCAAAAGTAGTTCTTCTCTGTTGAGTCATTTTTGTTGTGCTGAATACGTCCTTCAAGAAACTTAATAAAACATCAATTTATGGAGTGAAAACCTCCATGTAGTCAGTAGTCACGCGACACTAATGCGCTATTTTAGCTGCGTTCCCAGGAGGCGTGTCTCCGGTATAAATACGCTGGGCCCGGCGGCGGTGACTCATATGGCCGTCTGAAAGCTGCGTCTTGTCCCACATCCTTCACGGATTACTCATAGCAGGCGAACCCGGAATCGGTGAACGACACGCGTCTATATACGGCCCATGTTTTGGTTTTGCACTTTATATTTGGATTCGTTGTAAATGCCAACAACATGAGAAGTAGATATTTCAGCTTGCCCTGTACTATTTTTGCTTTTTGTGTTGTGTGATTTTTCGTTATCTTTCATAGTTGCCAACGTAGCGTACATGATCTATTCGTGCTCAGAAAAATCTTAGATAAGATAAATCTGATTTATCTCGTCTTAAGATACTTTAATGCCACTAAAAGGGTTAACTATCAAGTAATACGCGAGTTGACTCATATACCAAGAATATTATTAAGTTGGGTCTTGTTCCACTGTTTACTGCTATTTATGAGATCCTGGATTCCAAAGGTCTTACTCAGCTTTACTCAGAACAAACGTTTAAAAAGGTTATCATATATTATTAAATTCTATAGGCAGCTTATTCAGTAGCAAGACGTTTCTAAATTAGCACGTGACAATTTTTTGTACTTTATTTCGGTCAATATAACAGTCCATTGAGCGAAGGCTATCGCGGCTTTGTTTTATCTGGTTTCGTACTACCTTCCTCGATCGGTTTGAGTAATTTCCTGTTGCCAACACATTATTGTTTAGCCAATTAGTTTTTGAAGGTGTAGACATTTTAAATTTATGCTTGACCAAAGTAGTTTTACGTGTATGGTGTGATCTTTTGAGCTTAGAAGTATAATTAACATGAACATTTATCTATAATGTCGCTCGTAACGTGTGCACGGTGATGTAGATTTAGATGAATGTACACTATTATGTGTAGGTACAGGAAGTGCGCTGTTGACTACCATCCCTCCATTATACGATACAATTGATGAATGGCTAGACGTGAACATGTGTGCTTGAGTAGAATTCAATTTGATCCCTTTCAGAGTTAACCCTTATGCTCCACTGGCAGCATTGATTTGAATCAGTAAATAAAGAGAGTTTATAGAGATAGAGCTAAGGCTATACAAGGTCAGTAGAGTGTAGTTCGAATTGATGAATATAAATATGCAGCGTAAGTTTATTCGTACGTGATTCACTCGTCTATTCAATAGCTACTTTTAATTGAGGCAATTGCTGTTCATTTACGTCAAGACTTGCGTATAAGCAATAATTTACTTCTTAAATATAAAGGTCACTTTTAATTTTACTTTCAGTATTCATCGTTTCTTCAAGGTCATTAAGAATAATTTCTGCCGTCTGCTAACTAAAACGCGGCTTAGTGACAAAACAATTTTTTGAGATATCATAAAAACCATAACCCAGTTTTAGAATAATGAAATTGTTAGATGATATTACAGCTATGCTTCGCTAGGGTAAGTTCCGATAAGTCAAACACAATAACTAATTTTAACTGTTTTTAAAAGAGAATTTTGTTATCTATTTTTTGCTAGTTAAAACGGTTATTTGACCATTTGTCACTTAGCCAGCTTTTTTTAGCACATTTTTTTAGTCAACGGACGGCAGATTTATACTGTCGTATTTAGAATCAAATAATAGTTTAGAATAGCTTTACAATTAAACATACTTTTTAGCACATAATCAGCAATAAAAGATAATAATAATATAGTACAATATGTATAAAATAATAATAAGTCTGTAAACATTATCATCAAAAACAATTATTGATTGAAAGTAATTAAATTTTTTCACTCAAATTATGCAGATAACGAGTTAAAAATCTCTGTAGACATCGCAAATCAAAACGGGGTACAGCCGACGTTTAATTATGTAAATAAATTTCCATGCATAGCAAGGAGTCCTTAAACAATGCACCCGATGAAGCCTACCCTTCTACAGGAAAAGTTTGAATAAAGAAAACTGCCCCAGGGTAGGACCGGATCACAAGCCCTTTACTCGTAATACTATTTCTTCTTTTTGAAGTGTGGATTATTGTTATAGACATATATTTTGACGTTTGGATTTATTAGTCTTGTCAATCCACAAATGAATCGATTTTATCACATTTTATGTAAGTCTGCATTCATAAATACACAGCGTCACATTCGGTCTCGGTGAGTTATTCGCCATAACAATCTTTTACGTAACCCAAGATTTTATGCTTAAACGACAACACGTAGGTACGTGCTCATAGTGAATATTTACGAATTACGTAAACAGTATTCCACCTTAAATCCTTTTGAGCTTATAGTAATTTAACCCTTAATGAGAACTTTGTACGAGATTCCCTTCGTGACCGGAAGTGCGGAAACGGGACTCATCACCGTCTAATGGCCCGAAGCAGCCCTCGAGTTAAACAAATATCTTAATCTGGCGTGAAATGAAAAATAATCGCAATGCAGGTAATGCAAACATAAATGCATATTGTCGGTAATTTAATTCGGATAGACGTATTGAGGTTAGAATGTAAGGCAAATTATGTTTACATTTTCATAAATAGGTTTGGTCTAAATACTAGTCTAAAAATAACAAACCGGGTTAAACTTCCGAATACAATAGCGGCGCAGAGATAAAATGGGCACATGGCAGATGAAGCCGCCATAAAAATTTGTCTTCGCGAACTAAATTTGGCGGTGTCCCTCGAAATGTTATCACCTCATACTACAGTCGATGCAGGCACAATATCTCATAATATTCTTTATATCCGTTCCCATAAACACAAACGGGTCGTGGTAATGACGGCCGTCGAGGGGAGAGGACGTCTAACCGCCCGTTACGGTCGCCGGATATGTGACCGCTGCATTTTATTACCACTTTACTCTGCCACATAATCGACCTTCGTGATGAAGGGCTTCTTCCTACTAATAGTCACTTGGTATGCGATGACTCTTGTCATGTCGTGTTGATATGCCTTACAAAGGTAACTTTACGTTTACAAGTGTTCTATTTTTGAACATGTTGAACTGAAACGCTGACAAATCCAAGTCAACTGTTTTAATTTCCGCAGTCAGATTAATTATCTGAAAATAAATCTACTGCCACAATCAAAATCATTCCTGCTGTGAACTGACTGTCTTACTTTAATGATTTCTTTTGTATTGTTTCAGGTTGAATTTATAGAAGCGTATTGTACCCCACGCGACACAGCCCGCCGGTCGCCACAACGCAGCCGCCGGTCCAGAGAACCACGTCGGTCCCCCGAGAGCACTAGATGGCGTTACGACTCCCGTCGATCCAACTACGACTTTGATTCCTGTCGACGACCTTACGAGTACGAATCTCGAAGATACTACGGGCGAGAATTCGACGGAGATTCTGGAAAGCGTGCGGAATTTGACGCAGAATCAGCCAGGCGACGTGCTGACTACGAATCAGCCAGGAGAACAGACTTTGATTTGTCTGCTCCTGGTGTATCTAGGAGAAGCCCTGATAGTGCACCAGAGGTTTCAACTGAATCTCCGCCTGAACCGGCTCCGTCGGCATCATTAAGAAACGACAGGCAGTCTAGGCACCGTTCACAGCCGTATTACGAATCAGGTATTTTTAAAATTTCAAATGATTCAACACTCCGCTTTTATTACTGTTGTTTTCAAATTCATCTGCTAAGAAAACTTTTAATTTCTCTTAACTTATTTTGATCATAAGATTTCCGACAAATCCATCATAATGAATGAACTGTTTGTTATGACGTGACTGAAAATTATCTGTAGTATGCAAAACATCTGTATTGTAAACTTAATTCTTTCATTCAATGAAATTGGAATCTTTACATCCGGTCATGTGGTAACATCCCGTTAACAATGTACCTACACAAAAACAAATCCTCATTATAATGGTTGCCAATCAATTTACTTAACGACGCATTAATGTTATTTCGTAAACCTTAACATTTTTCGGATTTCGTAAGCGAAATCATGTTTTTCTTTTAAAACGATCTTTTAGAAGTAGGCTCTTATGAATGTTCGAGGATTTCCTAGCTCGTCTTCAAGGACCATGTCGGGAATAAAAAACTCTTCTCTTCTCCAGCAACAATCGCGGTTACATCTAGGTTTTTTGTGGTTAGAGAGTGTTCGTATTTCATGTCGCTGTGATCTTAATTTAAAGAAAGGATCTTTTAACTTATTTTTACGTAGTTACAAATCATCGAACTTTTAAAACAGTAGAATTGTTTCTGATCAATTTCTCCATGTTAGTTTCTGACATATTCAAAGCTATTTACTCTTATGCCTAGTTACTTTTGTAACTACATGTAAGTTTTAAAATTCAGTTTTAATAAAAATCATAATTTCAACGGCTATCATTAGGTGTATTTTCATTCGCCATTCATTCTCTAGCACTGTCCACAATAATGGCTATTTTTAATTATCCCTTTTGTCGTTTGTCCATCTGTCTAGACGAGATGGAAGACATGGTACCTGGAGGTAATAAGCTAGACTTTTGTATGAGCAATTGATTTTATGTACTTCTTAAGATATTTGCAACTATTTATTTTTTTCAAGTTTTGTTCCTTTTAGGATCACGTTCGTTAAATTATAGAATCACGAAAGATTTTGCCATTCAACGTTATCATTTTGTGATGTAGGCAAAGGATATTATTATCAAATTGCCATTAGATTACATTTTTTTTTATCAATTATATATATCGTTGCACTGAACGCTTTCGTTTACACACACGGTAAAGACTGTTTTGGAATGTAGAGTATACCTTTTATTTTTCATTGAAAAAAGGTCTTTTTTATTTGATTTACCTTTAACCTTTTAGCTCCGACACGTTTTAAAAAGACGTTTAACACGTTAATCGGGACAATTTAACAAATTTCGCGGGGTTCTGGTCATCCACGCGGAAAAGCAATTACGTGACGTAATGACGTCACTTAGCCCCCCCACCTCGTTCGACTGCTCTAATAGACAATTTGCTCAGTTTTTGATGTCGTTTTGTCAAGTGACGGCAACATGTTGAAGCGATTGAAAGCTAACGATTTTCTCCGCGTCCCAACTGTTTCGCATTTTGATTAAAACATCTCTCCCGATGAAAATAGAATTCAATTCGGAGGTAGAGCCCATTAAAGTTTGCTAGTCAAAAGTATTAACAATGTAAGGAATGAGTAACAGACAAAGCAAATTGAAATGTAAAAAGTAACTCGTAACTATTATTGGTTTTGCGAAAACATAAAAACGTTTATATAAAACCAGCAATGCACTCTGCCTACGAATTGTTAATTCCTAGGGCTTTAAAGCCAGACTTTTTGTGTTCAAGATGCATTCAGAAGGACTCTTTTGTTATGCGGAGGAAAGAATTCTCATTAGGGTATTTCTGTGCCTTTTGAAACCATATTAGCAGCGCGTGTATTAACTGCCTCTTGAGAGAAATTTTATGCATTCATAAACTTGTATGATTTGTAATGTGAACGTAGGCTGTGAGCTGTTAGGATAACGTATTGGAGCGTTAAGTCAAAGCGTAACTAAGTACTAAAGTAAGTTTTATGCTAGCATTCGCATCAAAATATAGGCAGATTAAAATTGTTTTTGATCACATTAATTCGAAAAAATCTGTTAGCGATTCCGATACTGAAGGTATCTTTTGTACTAAGTAGTTAAGTTAATTTTTTTTATTATTTTCTCCACAAACAGTGCATGTTAAAATAAATACATTTCATAATATCAAAATAAATGGGTGGTGGAGGCTAGTCCCTGAACTAGGAAAACCTGTATCTCAGGTAACCAGGTCTCCACCCCAGGCAGATTTAATTGCTATGATTAATTTAGTTGCTAAATGTATTGCTTTGGCCAGTGACAGCAATTTCTCTGTCTAATGGATATTTCAAATACCGCTGAAATGGGACGTTTATCAAGAGCACCCTTTTGTCCTCTTCACCCTTCCGAGGGTAAATAACAACTAGTGAAAACGATGGTCAATTTATACCCCTTCAATATCCGACAGGGTACCACTACTTTCTGAAAGTTTGAATAACTTAAAGTACGCAACCAACTCATTCACAAAAAATTCATGAAATCTAAATTCTTTTGTTAACAATCGGTTGACTTCGAAAGAATAGAAAGCCCAATTCCGGAAGCTCATTTATTCTGCTTCCGAAAGGTGGAGAGGCAATCCCAAATATGATTTACATCTAGCTCGTTAGGCACTGTGTTAGTTCACTCCTAGGTATTTTTTGTATTATGAGTTCAATGAAATTATATTCGTTTGTTATATAAGATGAAAACTTGTTTGCTTACTTACATCACAAATTACATGTTTTTAATGTAATACTATTACTAATACTAACCTATTTATTTGTTCTAGAATCATCTTCGGAAGGTCCATCATCGTCAACTGAAGAAGAAGAGGAGGACGAGTTTGGTGACTTTGATCCATTTGCTACAGCCCCATCGTTGCACTCGCCTGATAGCGGGCGTTCAGATCCCAGATACGCTAACGCTCCGCGCAGGAACCCAAGCCCTTATTATTACGGGGACCTATTCAAGACTCAGCCAACGCAGCTAACTCCATCTGCTCCAACGGCGTCTACAACTTCATCGTCACGTGGTCCACGGTACAGAAAATCAGCCAGTCTAGACGCTCCACACGTCGCTCCACGCCCAAATCTGCCGAAACGATTCTCTGTAGCTGAAGATGGCTTCCGTGAGCTAGAACGGTCGTCGTCTTCGTCAGGTGAGAGCGCGTTGATGCCGCCAAGGCGCCGCGGGCGCGACGCGGCCGGCTGTGCGTGGGCCGCGCGAGAAGATGTAGAGGAGCATTGCTCTTCTCGCAGCGTCTTTTACGTGCCGGCGCCGCTGCCCCGCTGGCCGCAAGAGATGACCACACGACAGATCTATGAAACAGCGTTTGATTGCAAAGTTGAACGTTCTGATGATGACCTCGATGATTTTGATCGCGTCAGTAACCACCCAGCTCTTTTGCAAGCCGAAGAACGTAAAGTTATTTCGTCTGCATCGTCGGCATTTGAAGCGGTGGAGCGTAGCGAACCAGATTATAAGGGTCGTCGCAAGGTGACCATGAAGACAGATAGTGTTCGGCGTTCAAAGATTCCGACTATTCGTCAGAAGAGAGAGAATGAGACTAACCCTTCTGCCTTATCAGAAGAATTGGAAAAGGTACACATTGAGGAGGGAGATCGCAATGCATCAACGTCGCAACTTCCACTGCGAGGCTATACGCCATCGCCTCCATCGACAGCACCTTTACCAACTAAATTTCAACAAAAGGATGGCTCTGCAATGAACAGCATAAAAAGTGCCCCGAACTTACCACAGTCTCAACCCGCCCATCCTCGCTTAAAAGATCTTAGATTACCTGTAAAATCACTGCGAGCTCGGGAAACGCCTACGAGCAGTGATGCTAGCATGGTCGACGTTAAGGGCTCAGAACAAGATGTTGGACAACGTTTAAGAAATTCAAGTCGCGAATCTCGGGACGGAGATGATGACAGAGGGCAATCAAAGGACGGTATTTTTTTAGAGATTAAGGGTCGACCCACTTCCGATTCTGACACACCTGAATTGAATCGGTATCCGGGGCCAAAGGGGGTCGGCCCTATAATGGAGTTTAAAGGTAGGCCAGTTGTCACGAGACCGCGTCGCAAATATTCCAGTACAGAAAGCATGGCTACAAGCAGTAGTGGTGGTAGCATGGAATCGTTGCGAAGTAGTAATAGTGAAGGTGATCGGAGTAGTAGTAGTTCGGAAAGTAGGCATTCATCTTCTCTTAGCTCGCATAGTTCAGATTCTGGAAATGTACCATTGATGAAATCGCATCATATGCAACTGTCGGGGTTTGGGCACCATCCTACTAAGTTGCATATTCTTAGTCCAATATCCGACAAATCATCACAAGAGCCAGCATCAGAGACCTCTGACAACAATAAAAACAATAACTCGCAAAAGGTTTCTCCTGAAGACAATGAAATTGGCAATACGACACTACAAACTACAGTAGAGATTGTTGCTAAACCTAAGCGACGTGCTTTGCAAAACCGAAACCTTTTGAATCTCACATTTAGACATTCCACACCTGGAGACACTGAAATTCAAGGCTCGGACAGTGGCATATCAATTCATTCAAGAGAAGGCGTGGATTCCCGAAATGCTTTCATTAATTTCAAAAACAGTAATACTGAAGAAGAACGTAAGGACGAAGACGAGGATTTTTCTGATCTTCCATTCGACATGCCGAAATTAAGAAGGCGACGCGCTGAAGCTGAAGCTGACTTACGAACTTTGCCATTCGATATGCCAAAACTTCGTCGAAAGCTGCGTGGACAATCCTTGCAGCTTAATAATGACTTTGGAGGACCTATTTCTAATGCCTCCTCTAGCCAAAGCGTTCAAGATTTAAATCAAGGTTAGTATTTTATTTGCCACTAAATACCACTTTGTTTTCAATAAGTTAACCGCAGAGTTACTTTTCTCTTGACTTTATTATGTGAAAAGATTTACGTGTCAATCTTATTATAGTAAAGTCTTAGGAGGGTCTGTCAACTCACATCTGTCTGCTTTCCTAACTTGAAACGACCGGCACCGCATTATGCCGATTAAGACGTATGACTCCAGATTGCTCCACACGAATTTCTCTGGTCCGACGCCCTCCCAATATTTAATTTGCTTGAGTGCTTTTTGAGAAAACTTTTTCCTCGTGTGTTGGAAGCAATTTGTAACCGTTCACTTGAGTTAGAACTTGCAAGTCTTGGAGTATCGCATGTAGTTTGACGGATAATAAGATGAGGCAGCTTGGCGGCCATGAACAAAATGGATAAAAGTTTAATTGGATTTAATTTTTGTTTCAGGAAACAAACATAAAGCAAAATTGACGTTGAATTTCAATAACGGTGGCAGTGGATCCAGATTTAAGGGTTTACATTTGAATTTGGGACCTATAGCTCCACCTCGGGATCTCGTTGACGCTTCTCTTCCACTTGACCGGCAGGGGTATGTATACTTTGCCATGAATTAAAAGCGATTCACTTACTTTTAAATTATCATAACTGAAGTTGATATTAAGATGGTGTGTTAATAAGTTTCTGTGTATATTTTTAGGTGGTACCACGGAACTTTGACGCGCGTTGAAGCAGAAGGTCTGCTTAGAGACGCTGAAGAAGGCGCATTCTTGGTCAGGAATAGTGAATCTGCTAAACACGACTATTCGCTTAGTTTAAAGTAAGTATCTTCCATCATCCTCTCCGTTTTAATAGTTTTTCTTATGTTGTTATTTCTTAAGCTAGCTTTAAAACTTTCGGAATGTATATGTAAAAACATATTATTCCAGTATTTGTTAAAATCCGCATACTTAATAATTAACATATTTTTTTTACAACAGATCGACTCGTGGTTTCATGCATATGCGAATTTGCCGTGGCACGGAAGGATACACCTTAGGAGGTGCCAACACAGCATTCACCACAGTTCCTGCTCTGATGCGACACTATGTCACAGCTCAGAGACTGCCTGTGAGGGGAGCAGAACATATGGCTCTGTCCACACCATTGCAAGCCGTTATGCTATGAACGCATCAAGTATGAAATTTGGTAGTAATCAGAAATCGCAAAGATCATGCGGTGACCAACCAAGTAAATACGGTTGGTCAAATTCGAAGTTCTCGGAAGATGTAAATAGAAGCAATCAGAACCTGAAAGACAGATGATATGTTTAGGTTCCTTCTCGTTTTGATTGCTGAAGAAAGCACAATTGCAAAGCAGGAGTTATTTATTGTATTTAGCTTAGTCCCAGTGAATACCAAAGATTTAGTGCTTGGCATCGTACACGTTTGCTAAGTACATCGGACTTGTAAATGTTACTGCTCAGAATAATGTAGAGGCACAATCATGCTGTAATTTGTTAATGCTAGTCCCATACCGCAGCAACTTATATTATGTATTACTATTTATTCGCATGTACTTTGTAATCAATATTTATTTCACAATTAATAATAGCTATAAAATAGGTACTTTTCATTAATGCTTTGTATTACGGTATTACTCATACATTATATCACAAGGATCAATATGTCATATTTCGTGTTATGAAAGATAGTATATATTTATCAAGTTAGCTACAATAGGTTTACGTCAAACGATATGATAAAAACTGATGAACTTATGTTTTGAAAGTCGTTAATTTTAATTGCTGCTAACTTTGTAGTTAGGCATACAGCGATTTGTATTATTATCTTATTGAATAAGATTGTATATTTACGGCCTAATCTCATTAATTTCCTCTAATAATAATCAAACTCTGAAATTCAGATTCGAGTTGTAGCGGCGTTAGCACCGCAGTGAAACTGTGAAACATTTGGAATATTTCCACCTTTTATAAAAGCAAGTTGTTTAACGATGTTATTCAACAAGGTCAAAAACATAATACTAGATTGCAAATGGCCGTGTATGTAGATAGCAAACAGTAGGTGTATGTATAGATGTCATTTACATGTGAAATCGATTTAGATTTTGAACCTACAGCCGTATAGAAGACGGTTGTATTTTGATGTTGCTAATATACATCCGTGACTCATCTTTTAGGTTGGGCAGTCACGGAATTTGTATTGATTTAGTTGTCAATTTGGACACGAGAGGAAAGATTTCCTTTTTGCATTTTCATCTGTATTACTTATTTACATTTAGATACATTAACGGTATATACAGGATTTAAATCCACCCACACATTCAATCGATGCAAATGAATAAATTAAAAAAAATTTAGCGTCAAATAGAATCATTCTTCAATATTTTTAGCACTTAAGGTAACCCCAATATTATATGGCACATAAACGTACTTTAAGACCATAGAAAAGATTGCACATGTTATATATCTTACACTTGGACTTATTTATATTTTTTGTTATATTAGGATTTAAGTAGGATTACGGAATGGTGATCATGGGGCCCTTGGATCAGTAGGAAAATTCTATTCATAGTTATGACTTGCTTTTGTTCAAAAGACAACGATATAAACTTGATTCAAAACCATGATGTGACTATGTATAGAGTAACAAGTTATTGGATGGTTGGATTTTTCTGTGATTTTGATTTTCATAAAAGCCAAAAAAAATGTTGTGTGTAAATTAAGTTGTTCGTATTTGTACTATGCTTTACTGAAGCTAACATCCAGATTAAAAAGTTGGTAACAACCTGATCTCAAATTTCTTCCTATGGATGTTTCAGTTACCTCTAGACTTATTTTCTATTAATTTGTACCTGATTTTGAGAAACGTTGTTTGAACTTAAAATTACGTTTTAACAAATAATATTATATTATGATTTTGTTATACAACTAATTTAGAATCTGTAGACTAGTTAACATTAGAAGTGTATGGGAACGAGCGAATTTCGATGTATGTGAGACATTTTATTGTATCTATACTTTTATTAAACCACCGCAAAAGCAGCTTAAGCAAGCGTGCAACTAATTTTAAAGTAGAATTAATACGGTTTTATTATTAAGCATAGGATGGTTACTATACGAGTGAAATTCATACAATTTGCAGTGCCGAGTTTTTGATGCAAATTTCACCTAATATCGCCTAATTACTTGTTTCACTCGTGCATTATCCGATCCCAAAAGATTTTGTAGTAATCGCATAATGGAAGGTAGTATAAGAATTTGGAAAAATCCTTTAATGGAAATTTGGAAATGTGTCAAAATTTTTTCAAAAGTGTAGGTCAGGGTTGACGGTTAGGTAAAATTATAGCTTATCGTAGTTATAATCAATTGTATTTTGAAAGTGTAGTTTGAAATTGATGAAGAATAAATTCCGTAAAAAATATTTTGGTTTTTTCATTTTTCTCAAATTAGTAATATGTACCTGTACCTACTTTACTGTAAAACGTATTTATAAATTTTAGTTTGCTTTAAAATGTCCGGCGCCCACTGCGGTGCGAGAAAACATCGTTCCGTTAATGTTTATGTTTGATTATTTGAAATTACCGATAAGTTGGTAGAGAGTCTTCCATTTTTGGTGCAGGATTTACTATTCTGTAAAGTTGGCGTTTTTTTAGAGACACACGCCATCTAGAGAACTTACTATGAACTACATAGCAAAGTCACGTATTAATTTTCTTCAAGCGACATCTATGAGTTTAAAGCGTAACTACAAAGACGACCAATGCTCTGCAGCATTCGTCTTGGGTTGTCGTGTTCATAATAAGACAAGTTATCGCTAGATGGCACACTTAACTTCTGATTTGTTTGAAACTTGGTATGATGATATCGTTATTCTATGATACAATCAATGAACGATAAATTTATAAAATGATTGGTATTGTACAATAAATTATTTTAAATAAATAAAGCATTCATCAATCGATTACTTTGCACAACATACCGGCAGATTTGAATGAGAGCGTGTAAGGTGAAATATTTCGGACCGAAGGTTTTGTAAACAGTTCGTGACGGGATATTTTGTTTGTTCGTCTGTACAAATTTACTCTGAGGTTTATTAAGAGAGGGTGACAGAGAAAAATTATTTGGCGTCATGGATCCGTTAGACTAATGAATTTATCTGTGGAATCTATATGGGATTCTGAGAACTAGATTGTTTCTTTACTTACTAGTGTGTCGTTGAGAAATATCACAATTGATAATTATAACATTGGGCGAATTGAAACATTCGTGTTGTAACAGAAAGGTGTATTCATATGTATACCACATGGTATGTTTAAATTTCAATTATTACTTTATTTCTCACTTCGTTATTTACGGAAATTTCAGGTCGTAACGTTTCGATCATCTGGTCACTTGGAACAAGCATTGCACAGCTCTAGTCTTATTGGCTCATAGGTCATTGACTTGCAGTTGCTACGCATCTATCTCTTTCATAATGCAAAGTGGCCCATTTACAACGGTCCAAAATTCGTTAACGTTATTAATTTTTCTTGTGCCAGTTTGGCGGCACAATCCCTTAGCCTCCACGATCAGCGGGTACACCAAATATGAGTACATTCTTTATAGTGACCGGGAAAGTGCGCCAAAGCGTGACCTACAACTACGTCGAAAAATCTAGGAGGCAATACGGGAATACGAAAGAATTAACAGGCTTTTCACAGACTGAAAATAATCTTTTGACTTCGATAAATTTCATTCCAAAGTAAAGTACTTTTGGTGACTTGAGTACAAAATTTTCAAAAACTACAACAAAATCATAATTTCAAAGCTTTGATAGCAAGACTTTTGTTGAACTAATATTTCTTATGAATATCGGTCATAGGACCTCCTGTACGAAGAAAAAAACAATTTATTGTCGGGATCAAGAACGCGACCCTGTACAGCATCAACGCCTCCAATTGCTTCTGAGGCCCGAAGGGTTCTTCAGCAGCAAATTTTTCGAGTCAGTAAAAAATTTACGTACGGTACATGCTTTATACGTTTTTAGTATTTTAAAGTCCTTAGTTCGTGGCATTTAATTACCTAATTGTTTTGTAGACCTTAGCCTTTTTAATTTCTGTGATTGAAAACACAATAATCAAGCACACAAATTGTACTAGCAAGCAAATTATAATCTGTCGTCTGAAGTCACCATTTAAAAGGATTTGCAGGCGAAAATAGGTGGATAAGGCGATTTACGAGTATAGCCCTTTGACTCAGAATACTAATTAGTACCAATGAGGCAATTAGGAATCATTACAAAAAAATAAAACGAATTCTTCGAACTGTATTTAAGAGCTCTAGTGGGTTAAGCTGCCTCCAAGATTCGCTGTTGTAAGCTCTTTCCCGAACCTTTTTTTAACGATATTAAGCAATTGGACTAATAAGTCGTAAGTACCTAGTAGTAATACACACGCGCAAAATAACAGTTGCAGTGTCACTCTGAGTCTTAAATTGCCAAGATCTGAGCGGTAGTGCTACTGCGTCCATTACCCTAAGACACAAGTTGCAACTTCCATGTGTGTACAGTACACCAGTACCCTTACCATTCAAAACAGGAACGCAGTAATGCTGACATTCTTTGAGTATACTACACTGGAGGCGTCATCGATAGGCAGTCTACTTTGTCAAGATACAAGTACAAAAATACTACAGTCGTTTATCTTCGACATATTGTGTTTTGTTTATATAGTGACTCTGCCTATTAAACTCCCACAAAAAATGGCCTCATCAACAGGACATACTCATACAACAAGTGCATGAAAATGACCTGTTGTAGTAGTAACATAATTGACTAATTAACAGAAAGAGCTTCGTCGGCAAACAACAAAAAAATCTTTCATAATGCATTAGTCATAAAAATTGTATAAATAGTCCGTATGAATTGTAAATAAACTTAGTCAACCACTACCATTCGATTTCAACACATCTCCTGCTTAGTGAAGTATTATTACCGGCTACTCCTGTCACTATAGTCAAGACACCCTTAACCGTTAATAGATCGGTCTTGTGAGTCTGTTAGACCGGCAGTGAGAATTCCATTCCAGTACAGATTGCACTACGTGTCCTTACCTCCTTCCCAATTTCCGTTTGTCACCTTAGGTCTCCTGCTGATAGACTTCCCGTACTACATCTAGTATATATTTCACCATCTATCCATTTTACGATTAGGTTAGGCTAGACACCGTTAGGTTGTAGGGTTACACCAGATAAATCGTTGGGACGACTCTTGAGGTCTCACCGTTAGGTTGATAGGGTAGTTTTTATCTTGACCTTACCGTAATTTCATGCACAGCAGGCGGTTGATATTAGCTACACACTACATTGGCAGACAAGCACTACCACCACATAAATATCTAAGGGCACGCTATCCAAAAGTAATATAGAGAGGTATAATTTAACTAATTCAAATGGTATATATGTACAATAATTATAAATATATACAAACATTATTGCGTTTATTACATTTTACACCATATTTTTATCTTCGTCCTGAAAAACTACATAGAAATCACATACGAGGTGTTCATAAGTTTACTATTCACAAGACGTCGTTATCTGCCACGTTACGGTCACAGATCGCTAATGAGTTCCTTCTCTACCACGAGTTTACATTGATAGTTGTCGCTCGCAAAATTCTACACGACTTTTTGTAGCAAATTCGTGCTGTGTCCCTGGTCATTAGAAGAAGTTGTACTTTGAATACAAATATTTTACCCGATCGTAAGCAACAACAGTCATAGTAAGTGGTAAACTCATGATACGAGGTACAGTTGAAGCCTTTTTATCCCCCATCGCCAAAAACGTGAGGATTATTAGTTTCATGTCTTTGTCTGCTGTGTATCTGTATGGCAGTTTGAGGTGCCGTAGCTGAAAACAGAAGGACTGATCTCACAGCGATTTTTATTTATTTGAAGGCTAATTTAATCGGGATGGTTTTAGCCACGTATAATAAATATCTGTTCAGGTATTTAAATATATTCAGCTCTTTTCCCATTTAGTGTAGGGTTCGCTGTCACAATATGAATATTTATTTTACTTCCGATCAAATTAAAATTTGTCGATTTCTAGTGCTGATCTTTAGGTTGTTAATTTATGGCCTTTTTTAATATCTGTTGTTATTGAATCTTCTTATTTTAGCGCCTCTCCATTATTAACGGTCGACAGTCAGTTTTCTAAATCTTTCTTTGTCCAGAGCTAGCCTGAACAATTATTCTACAGTCTTGAGCCGGTCCGCTCCACTCCCTGATGTTACGAACCCATGACATTTTCCTTCTTTATCCGCCTCCCAGTTATTTTGCCCATCGTTATGGTGTGCAATAGATGGTATTTATTATTGAATAAAGTTTCTTTATTTAACGAAATAGTATTTTATGCAATTGCCGAGTAACTTAGGTAATACGAGATTTTAAAGACCTAATTATATAATGATTGCATACAATACTTTTTGTATGAGTGAATTAAAATAATGGAACACAACCAACATTTAAAGATTATTTGGTAACAATCCATGAGAACAAACTCAAACGAATAATAACAAACAGTACAAAACAAAACAAAAACCAAGGAGAATAGAAGTGTCCGTGATTGACCAACCAGGAGGCAGTAGAGCGTTTAAGTAGTGTCGTAATTGATATTTTATATTGTTTTTAAATAGGTTTCTTTTTGCTAAATGGTTACGATTTTGTTATGTAACATTTTGAGATATTATGTAATAAAATAATTCGAATTTTAATAATAGTGTAACCTTGATCTGATGCTGTAACCAGAACATTCTGCAGACTACTTAACTTCTCAGCTACTTACAGTATCGTGTTTGGGCTTTTTGAATTGTC